AAAGAGCACAAGTTTAATAAGTTTAACATATTTCAAAACTGGTGTAAAAGCTATTATAATAGAGTTGTAAAATCAAAAACTTCGCTAGCGGTTTGACGTTTGCCGTAAACGTCAATCTTAAGGTCTCTAATGTGGCTAGCCCGCGAACGGGCTAGCCACAAAAAGTGTGTACTTTGTTGGGTACGTCATGTAGTATACACTATAGTGGAAAGAGAAAAAAAAACACAAAGAAAGTGAAGAGAAAGAGAGACTTGGAGTAAGTCTACTTTTTGTCTTGAAGCAAATTTTCAATGCAGGGGTCATCAATTTTTATCAAGATCAAAAGGGTGGGCCATCAATAATTATGCCTAATTTGGGGGGGGGGGGTTATAAAAAAATATGTTTTAAAAATTTGAATTCCCCCCCCCCCCCTTGCATGTACTTTATGACCAGTCCCTAAAGAAGACTTACGAAACGGTTTTAATACACGTGCTCGTCGCGATTTGGATTTAAAAGATAAGATTTTGTTAAATTATTTGGCGTCAGGGGACAAACAGTTGATAAATTGCGGGAATGAGATTTGTCTGTAATTAGCCCGATTAAACCGAGCATTATAATCCTCGAAGTTCGAACTAATAATCTTTCTGCACAATACCCGTCCACTACACGGTAGGCTAAGTTAAAAAGGGCTGAAATGACCCAAAAAATGGGGCCAAAACGGTAACCGCAAAATAAATCTTTTTGGGGGTCAAAATGGCAACCTATAACAATTGAAAGTTCATGGCACGGTATTAAAGGCAAACATGATGCTCGGCTTCATCCGACGATCAGCCTCTGACATCAACAACATCCAAGTCCGCAAGATTCTTTTCCTGTCTTTGGTTAGAAGCAAATTGGGGTATGCCAGTCAAGTGTGGGCACCCCAAACAGTAACTAACATCGCTACAATGGAACGCGTCCAACGTCGTGCCACCAATTCCATCCTTTCCCTCCCTTATAGATCAGACGTTTTGTACAAAGACCGACTCAAGTCTATCGGTATTCTTCCCATCTGCTATTGGCTCAAGTTTCTAGATTTAGTTTATCTCTACAACTGTGTTGTTAATGACTCTGATTCAAACATCTCAATACGGGTTTCTAATCGTAGAACCAGAAACTCCAATTCCGACAATGGTATTCTACTAAATCTACCTAAATCCAAGACTGTTAGCTTTCAAAACAGTTTTTACGTAAGAGCACCCAGCGTTTGGAACATTCTACCCGATATCCTCACAGACACTTCAAGATCTACAGCTTCCTTTAAAAGTTTACTATTTAGATACTACTTTAACCTTCTCGAACACGTGTACAACCCAGACAATCCTAGAACCTTTAAATCGGTGTGCGTCAAATGCCACTCTACTCGTTCTATTCAAAATTTATCTTTCAGATCATGTTGTTGACAGTTTGGCGAAAGCTAATTAATGTTTTTGTGCATGTATAGTAATTTGTCTTTTTGTCGGGACCCCGTTATTGGAGTTTATCTCTGTGGTCAGTCCCAGCCAATGCACTCGTAGATATTTGAATAAGTTTAATATTTGTTTGGTGCGGCGAATCTTGTAAAATAAAATAAAATAAAATAAAATAAAATAAAATAAAATAAAATAAGGGGTGATTTGCCCTAAGGGGTAATTTGGCCCTTCCAGTGTAAGGGCTGTTTCAGCTTTTAGTAGGAGCTGCTTTGGCAAAAGCAGGTCCATTCTTGGTCATCAATTTACGACATTAGCCCTGGAAATACGTGCAGTTTTGACGGCTGTCACGTGGTACGAAATGTAAACATTGCGGCCATGAGGGTAAATTGTATTTTATAAGACACGATGTAAGAAGACAATTATTTCGGGATTTTCCAAACCGTTTAGTACGTTTATTGTTGTTCTTTTGTATGAGACTAAATCTCAGCATGTTTCAGGATTGTATTAAGAAGTTTAGAAATATGAATGTGGCGTCAATAAATAATTACCTCGAAGAACGAGGAGTTACTGTGAATGGCTATTTAAAACCAGCTTTAGTACGTTACTATTGCTGCTGCATGCGGTTGAAAAAATGATGTTGCCTCTTGACACAAACTATGAAAGGGATAACAATGAAAAAATGTACGTCAACGTTTATTTATTCATTATTATTATTATTAATCATCTTTATACAGGTTAACTTGTTCAGCTATTACAATAAATGTTGTTATCCTACAAGGACCTGTATCTAGCTACAATAATGAATTATGATATTTTCTATTAAATGTAAAAGAGATCTAGGTTAAAATAGATAAAAACTACTGACTAAGAATAGTTTACTTAAAAAACACCCAGGTTATAAGGATTTTAATTTTCCTTTAGATCTGACGATTGATTTTTCAGTTTTCTTTTCTTTAGATAGATAGATAGATAGGTTCAGCCTAGACCTAGGCCTTCTAGTCTTATTTATATTTTTTCATATTCAGCGCTTTTTTACCTGAAAAGACTGGGACTAGGTGATTTGGGGGCGGGGCGGAGGAACCAAGCCTAGAAGGCCTAGTTGATTTCCCAACAACATGGCAAAACTGCCCTGAAACTGCCCTGGTTGCGAAATGCCCAATTATTGCGTTCTCAAACAGAATTACTTGCAACTTAACGGCGAATTTAAACCGATACAGGTAAAATAAACTCATTTATAGTATAAACTTACTATTTTTATTTGTATACACGTCTAGAAAATCGGGTTTTTTATCATAAAGTTCGAAGCAACGCTATTATTTAATATGTTGACAAGGTGTAGCGAAAGCACAAAATGAGTCAAAATATATACCAAAAGTAGAATCTTTCATGAACTTTTGTCTTATACACAACTATATTAATATATATTTTCTCAATTTTGGCAAGAAGCAGTCTTGTGTTTGTAAAGTATACAAAATAAAACGGATACATATATTTAATATTAGCCCGTACAGTACTGTATATAAAAACGTACATTGTTTACAAATGGTATATCCGTAATATTTGAACAATAATTTCAAAATCCTCATTCCCAATTCGCAAATATAGTTATTCAAAGAGCAAAACAGTAGATTGTCTTGCGAATAAAAGAATTATTATTTTGTGCCGTTTCGCTACGCCTTGTCAACATATATAAATAGTGTTGCTTCAAACTTTATGATAAAAACCCCGATTTTCTAGACGTGTATACAAATAAAAATAGTAAGTTTATACTATAAATGAGTTTATTTTACCTGTATCGGTTTAAATTCGCTGTTAAGTTGCAAATAATTCTGTTTGAGAACGCAACAAATGGGCATTTCGCAATCAGGGCAATTTCAGGGCAGTTTTGGCCTTGTTGTTGGGAAATCCACTAGGCCTTCTATTTTTCCGCTTGCGTCAGGCTTGTGTCCTTCCTCCGCCCCGCCCCAAATCACCTAGTCCCAGTCTTTTCATGTGAAAAAGCGCTGAACATTAAAAATATATAAATAAAAATAGAAGGCCTAGGTCTAGGCTGTGTTTGAAGTATATATAGCCGGCAACATCCGGCTCTCAATTTTTGAACAACCAAGCAAGAAAATGGTCTACTTCCGGATTCTATAAGCATCTAATATAATAACTTTAGAAGGCGATTACAGTATAAAAGATAAAAAATAAACGGCAAATAACTAGAATAATTACAATGCCTTCAAGCTATACACGCGTTCTATTAACTAAGCAAAAGACAAAAAGAAGAATGAAAAATAGTTTATTTTTCAATTTATGAAGTGATAGTTTGGTATAAAAAAGCTCGTTTGTTAAAGACAAGGGTAAACGTAAATTGCATAGTGGATTCTAACTTATTTAATTTTTGAAAATAGATATGTCTTCTCTTTTTGTATATTTACAGCCATTTCGCCCGTTACAATAAAAAACTTGCCCAGGGCCAGCTCAAGACATTGCTAAAAACGATTGCCGGCAGACGTAAAATACGCCACAATGCCCGCTAAAGTGATTATAATATGAAACAATATAGTTAATTAACACATTCTTACGGTATGTTACATGGACGAAATCCAGTTTAGGTATACATGCTCAAATATCCGAGTTTTTTTATTATTTTCCACCAGTCTTTCTTTTAATTTCCGTCTTGTGTTTGTATGGGACCCATGTCTGCATGGTGGCCTTCAGTTGCTAAGCAACTTACCGTCATTTTTACCGGCAAGAAATTCGACGGAAATACCACTTCGATAATTCGGTAAACCGCATTTTGGACTGAATTTAAAGAGACAAACAATAACACAAGACATCGAAAAGGCAAAAGCGAAGATTTTAATCGAAGAACTGACTCAATTGACGTTTCAGGTGCTTTGCTAGTACGTTTAATACTGGCTCAGGCATGAGTCAACAAGTTTTATATACAACTAATATATGTTAATTTATATAATATTTATATACGTACACTATAAAATATTAAAATCGCATGAAATAAATATTTATTTTCATCATTTGTGGTTTTTCTATTATTCTATACAAAGTGTTCTATATACTATTCAAAGGTGTATACATTTATCAATAATAAGGGAGTGGTCATTATTTATGGGGAGGGGAGGGGTTGATAAATGGGGAAAATAAGGATTGAAAACTTTTTGACCCCCCCCCCTCTCTCCAGACTGAAAGCAAACTTTTTGTGGCCCCCGCCAGTGTGGATTGAAAAACTAACAGCACTGAAACAGGTGTGCGTTGCAGGTAAAATTAGATGTTAGGACAATCTGTTTAATCTAGCTCAAGATGTTTTACCCTGGTGAATATGATTCAACCATATATGATTAACATATCATATATGATTTGTCCTACCATAACCCTAACCCATGGCCTGTCTTCATACAGCGAAATGATTTGAACACAGGGCTTTTTTATGAACTGGTCGGGGGGGGGGCATCTACAGAAAGGGAACATACTATAATGAATGTGGAGAGATGACAGATAGTTCTTGGTGATAAAACGTTTGGTGTGGTATCGTATGTACTAGTAGGGGGGTCTGGGGGTATTCTCCCTCAGAAAATTTTTTGGTATTTTTCCACCCCGAGTACTGAAATGTGAGCATTTTCTGAAACAGAGTTTTGGAAATAGAGCATTACATTGTGCTTTGATAGACCGAATCTGATCAGTTAAGTACTTCTTGCATGGTATGTTTATGTAAATACCACAACTGGGTCACTCAGGGGGTAGGAAGTTGGTTAAACTTAGCGCGCCCGACTCCCAAGAGGCGGCTACCATGGTTGGTGCCGAGCAGGGAAATTTTGAAGATTTTGAGTCTCTGGATCATTGGAAATGGCATTTTCAGAGTCTTCTTTACCTCTTTGGCATTATGATTTGTGAGTCTATACTGTTTGTGATTATAGAAATCAGAACTCTAGACATGGTATTTAAGTTCAAAAAGTTTATTGACCCCCCCCCCCTTTCTCTAGGTTAAAACTTTTTTATTTATAAGGGTAAAACTTCATTTGCCCCCCTCCCATTTACCAACCCCCTCACCCCATAAATAATGACCACTCCCTAAAATCAATTTTAATCAATAAATATGGCAGATTGTTTTTTCCACACAGGGAGTTTGAGGACTTTGGAAATTCCAGGAGGAGGGGTGGGGATGGGATTTGGGGTCAAATTAAGTTCATAACGCTTGTGAGTTCTCAAATTTATTAGATACATTTAATATGTCACAACATGTTAGTGAACCTACTCACCAGTCTGGTCACACACTTGACCTACTTATAACGAGACAAGATTCGAACTTAATAAATGGTATATGTGTCCACACATCTTGGATAAGTGATCACAGTATTGTGCAGTTTAAAACCACCACAAAGAAACCGAGTGTTGCTCGGAAAACAATATCTTATCGACGATGGAAATCACTTGATGTAAACCAGTTTCGGCAGAGTATAGATGATATTGACATTCAATCTGTCAACTCGCTTTCTGATCTTGCTCTGTTGTACAACAGTGCCTTACGCGATCTTTTAGAAAAACATGTTCCCTTGAGAAGTAAAACTGTCACATTACACCCACAAGCTGAATGGTTTGATGCCAAGTTGCTAATAGAAAAGAGAGCAAAAAGAAAGTTGGAACGTAAGTTCCGATTATCTAATTCACCTGAAGATATTCGTCAGTTCAAAGAGCACTCAGAGTATTATAGTCACTTGCTAGTTACAACGAGACAGAAATTTTACACAGATAAGATTGAGGCAAATTATGGTGATCAGAAAGTACTATTCCAAGTGTTAGATAAACTTTTACACCGTGAGAATCAACGTCAATTTCCACCGCATGATAATCTTGATGATCTTACAAATATGTTTGCGGATTTTTTTGTCCGGAAAATTGATACAATTCGCTCTCAACTACATTTGGCTACTGTCGATAATCTGCTAGGATTTGAATCTTCCTGTGAGACCGTTGAAAAGTTGGAATATTTTAGTTCAGTTTCTGAGCATCAGATTGAAAACATTATTCGGTTAACTAACAACAAATCATGTGAACTTGATCCAATTCCAACTTGGCTCTTGAAGCAATGTATTCCTGCCTTACTCCCGATTATAACAAAAATTGTTAACCTGTCGTTGCATGATGCATTCGTGCCTACCCTGTTCAAACAAGCCTTTTTGACACCAATACTGAAGAATATTTCCCTCAGCACAGTTGACATGAAGTTGACATAATTGTTTTGTTTGTGGAAACACTACAAATGATTTATTTTGCAATCCACAAGCTCGGATGTTCATCAGTGCAAATATAATATATTTACAGTCAAAAGTTCTGCAAACTGTTACCACTAACAAAACAATTATATTATTATAATAGTTTTGTTTGTGGAAACACCACGTAAATTTATTACTGCAAAGCTTTCGATCCGTAAGCCCGGATCGAAAGCTTAAGCTTATCCCCGGATCTTAAGCTGGATCGAAAGCTTAAGCTTAAGCCCGGATCTTAAGCTGTGCAGTAATAAATTTACGTGGTGTTTCCACAAACAAAACTATTATATGTTTTATCGCCAAGCAAACATACAAAGAACTAATTATATTATTATTCGAAGTGTCTATTCAGCCGATGAAACCCAGTCCGGGTCGGGATGTGCTTTGTCTGACTTAGTATTTTTTTCTTAAAATGTTTTCAACTCCCCCCCCCCCCACCTTTTCTAACTATCAAAAGGTTAGGTTAAGGGTTAGAGAAGGGTTTGAGGTCAGTTTATCTTATAGAAATTCAACTTTAACTATAGTCACTATCAAGCCGGTGTCCCAGGAAATTTGCCACTCCCCAAATTTCCTAGGAACTGATGCCCCCCCCCCTTGCCCACTCGAAAACATGGTTTACT